TATAAAAAAATATCATAAAAGAGAAAAAAAAAGAATAATTCAAAAGAAACCAAAATCAACGAATTAGAAGAAAGATGCGAGCAACAGTTATTTATTTTTTTGTGCTAAGCATTTATTAAAACAATCATTGCAAAAATCTATTAAACTTCAAGCACGCGCCGAGTGCACGCATCTGTTATTTTATACTCGTTAGAGTTTGAAAGAATATTTTTCACTCGCTGGTAATACATCTCTACATCTTTCTCCTTTTTATTCCCTGTCTTCTTCATGATATCGCTCTACTTATCTCTTCTTCCTCTTCTTATTTTACTCTTTGACTTTGCTTCTCTTTCACTAACCGGTCAACGCAATCTTATGCGACACAATAACACCACTACAAGCCGGCACATATTCTTTGATTGCCTTCCGAAATATTGTGACATCCCACGGTTTGACCAATTTTTCTCTTTCTTTATCATCTAGTTCACCACATATGGCATCACACTGAAATATCGGAAAATTCCATTTACCGTCGCCTTGACACTCAATAAAGGGTATATAGTCATGATGACGGGGAATTTTATAACCAGGAGCACAAGAGATATAGGCATGAGATTGTGGACGTAAAGCATGGTTACAACTGATATTATAATCTTGATAGCTACATGAGACTATTGTAGAAATGCCAGGTTGTAGAACAGGACAGCGTATACCGCAATCATAATCATCACGATCAAGAAGCATACTGGTTGGTCTAACTGTTCGTGAGGGTGTTGTAGGGGGGGTAACGACCGATCCAGGGGTACATGCAGGAGGTGCAAAGGTCGGTGGAGGGGGACGAGCAGCCGGTCTTGTCGGAGGTAAATAGGTCGGTGGAGGGGGACCAGGAAAGAATTGTGTAGGAGGTGCGGGTCTTGCAGTAGGCACATTGATCGGTGGGGGGGTAGCTCTTGTAGTTGGAGGACGGTATGTTTGACCATTAGTGTCACCATTAGAATCTTCAGTGGTGGATGGTTCATGATTATCATCGACTTGATTATGACAATCATCATTGTCTTCATCTGAATTGTCAGCACAATTCATAACACCATTGCATTTATTCGAAATAGGTACGCAAGCACCGTAAGCGCAGCGAAAGGCTAAAATATGACAAATAGATTTGCCGCATAATTCAAGCGTTTCATCACTGCCATCATTACAGTCCCGATCTCCATCACAGACATACCTTTCGCCGATACATTCCCCAGATTTACATCGGAAAGCAAACGGAGGACTACAAATTGAAAGAAAAAGCCAAATTGAATTTTAATTAAATAGAATATTATACTCGCATTGATCCCCCATGTCTTCTGGCAAATTAGTTGTGTTTCGTTTGCATAAGAGATCAGTTTCATCTGAACCATCAGCACAATCATTTTTGTTATCACATATATAAGTTCTAGCAATACAGGCTCCATAATCGCAACGGAAGGCATAAGCCGGGCAGTTCAAATCGATGCAATGGCGTACGGTTTCATCTGAACCGTCCTTGCAGTTCACAATGCCATCGCAAAGTTCATCGCCATCAATAAGGTCCCCGCTATCACAAAGCCATCTATTCGACATTGACTCAATATCAATTAATTGCGCGGCTAGGAATAAGAAAAAAATTTAAAGATAAAAAAAAAGAAGTCTTTTCCACTTTTTCTCTCCCAGATAATTCCTATCAGTTTGCAATCTAAGGAACATTAGGAATAGAAATTATTTTATGTCACTCACTCAATAAGTAAACAATTATTACTCAGATGATCATATCATTGATCCTATTGTTTCATATATATGATCGGCCGGATGAGATGCTGTACACAACAACACGTTCAATCTAAAACTTATTAAGTTATAGCCTTCATTTTTTAAAATGTTTAAGAGAGTCCTCCATAAAAAAAATTTAGAAAATCTCAGGGTTCCATCTTTTATAATTTAAGAATGGTGAACAAACAGAGGAACAGAGGTACTTTTAGTTTGCGCTTTGCTGTAGGCGTGTCCTCTGTGCGATTTGACCCATATTCAATACAAAGCAGTGTAAAAAGTCATCTAATAGTTCCACCAAATTTAAAGTTGATATCGTAATTGTAGCGACCAACAGAGTACCATAAACCACTCATTCCCGTCCACAAACGAAAATCGATTTCGAATATATATACTTTAGAGGTTCTGTCTTTTGAATATCGCAAACATTATGGTGACACGAGTGCATGCGACACCCTTCATTGTATTACACAGATATTGCATAGATTGGCAAATGGACAAACGATTGACATTTTTATGTGGAATCTAAATTTGAGACTGGTGAAAGATATGTATATATATATATATATATACGTATATATGAAGATAGAAGATATCGCCTTTCTAATTTAGCAAAAAACTTAAAAGCTTTTGCATGCAGGCTGATGTTGAAAATGGGTCCAATTGGTGAGAGATCCTGCCTCTAGTACAATATAAGTCGAGAGGGCCTTGTGTGTTTTGTGGTCTTTTTGCTCGTTATTTATAAACTTCAATGGACTGAAATTCTATAAAAATAAAAAAACCGGATACTCTCGCTCAATATTGGAAAGCATGAAGATTTAATTTTTTCGTTTTTTCTTTCGAAACTATTTTAGATAAGGGACATGGGTACAGAAGATTCGGTCAATGTTTGCGACTGACATTACAAAGACGGGTAGACAGACAGAAGTTTGTGTCATGGATTTAACGTGAGTTCCTGCCTGTAAGGCTTAACCTCACGGTGGCTGATGCCACGGGGGTTATTAAGCGTAAATCACGCCCTCTGGCGAGTTAGACAATCCCTATAAACTAGGGGCCTAAACAGCACCAGAGTCCAGATTGTTTATTGTGTATGGATCAATAAACCCACTCTGGTCAGTGTTGAGGCCTACCCGCAACTCGATTGTTACGGCTAGACGGACAACTAGAGAATTTGAGAGGCGGGTGTGATTATATCGAATTTATGTATTCAGCTTCATTATATTCCATGTTGGCCGAACTCATATATAGCTCGGATTCCCATGTAAAGTAAGCTTTACAAGTAAGCTACAACTCAAACTCGTATTTTTAAATAGAGAATTTTGCAGATGCGCTATGACGTAATTACTTAATAATTAATTTATTTAATTCTTTTCGCGTTTGATTTTTTTTTTTTTTTTCATTTTTCGTTCAACACTTACAATTTTCATTAACATGTTCTTTTATTATTAACATAAATATGAATTGGAATTTAATTAACATGATGATGACGAAGTACAAGTACAATAAGTATTCGATTTAATTATATATTTTTTTATATTCAATTTTAATTCTAATCCGATAGTCCGATACTGAGAACGACAACAGTTAAATGTTGTAACGTCACTACTGCGTAACGACAGTTGGTAAGAGTTGAATCGCATGTAGAGTTTAAAAAAAAAAAGTCTTAACAATTTTCTCTCTTTTTAACTGAATGAAAGAATATTTTCTCTCAGTCGTCTTGAAACTTTTGAAAAATAATTTTAATTAATTTTCTCCTCAAAACAATAAATGATGAGTTGAAGTTCAAATCAAACAGTGGCGGAAATTAAATTTTCGGTGAGTAATCGAAAAAAGAACATGAATAATAGGTTACAGTAAACGATTATAACTAGATTTATCATCATAAGTCTCTCTAATCCTTATTTCGTACGTTTCGTAAACCTTTAGAATGGAAAGATCATAAGGCGTCTAAGTGCACTTGCGATTATAATTGTATTACCGACTGTATAAAATGCAATTAGGAGAAATTCAAGAATTTTTTCACTTTAATTGAAGTAGTTTTGCAGGAATGCGTGTCATGCAAAGATAGAGAGAGAGCGAGAGAGAGAGATGAACATCTTGCATAATATATATATGAAGATCCTTAATATATACTTTATCAAAATATTTACGGCTTTCTCCTAAAGTGGTATTTCATACCTTCGTAAGGGTGTTTCACCTCTCTCTTAGGATATCTGAAATGCTATCGTTTTTTTGTTAAAACTGATAGACTTCGAACCCTGAGCCAGAAAGGTCTAATTTTTCAATTTTTTTATTACTAAACTTTGGTCTTAGTCTAATATAAAAAAATTAAGTCGACCTAACTTGAATTACATGGGCCTATTTCTTGACCCCACTGCCCCACATGTGAGATATCTTATGAGTAGCAAGTCTTTCGAAATAGGCTCAATTTTTAATATTTGATTGTGAAAATTACTTCATAGTAGCGATTGAGCAAAAAAATAACGGTGGCGAGTTTGCATCACATAGGCCTATTTTTTGACCCTAACATACAGACATTATCACGAAAAGCGAACTTTTACGTGGAGAGAAAGTCTAATCTTCCAATAAGCGGGCTTTGCAAGAAAATAATGTGTACTCTGTGGGGTATTATTGCCAAAACGAGTGTATAACTGTACTAGACGAAGTAGTATATGGTATGTAGTGAACGCAGTTGGCCGATTATAATGTTTTTACTTGCTTATTCTAAAAATTTGTTTGTTGGTGCAATTTCATATAAACATTAAATGGACAAATGGACAATTACACGTTTCATAAGAAGACAATGTGTAATATTGGGTGTATTATTACCAAAACGAATGAATTGGTGTAGAGTATTTAACGGTCGACTTTGTCCGGTAATAATGCTCTTACTTGCTTTTAAATTTTTGCATTGATAACATTAACTCAATATTGCATTTTACATTTCTATTCCTTTTAATTAAGTTTATCTTAAATTTTTCTTGAAATTGTCTTACTTCAGGAAGCATTTGCTACGTTACCATTACATCACTTCTACTTTTCTACACAATACAAGCTACCAATAAACTGAACATATATAAGAAGAGCTTGCCAAAAATATAGAAGCAAGTGTCAGTTTCTGTTTCGGCGAAATTTCAAGGTAAGCCAAATAAAATTTACCGATCAATTGTGCCGTAGGCAGGCATTTCCGCGGAATTACAAAAATACATTTCAACATACATGAGCATGTGACATTATTTATGTGCAAATCATTTATTAAAACTTCATTATTCTTTTAATTTAATCCCAAACGATACTTTCTATCCAATCGATATATAGTTTGACTCTAGTGTAAACTTCGGGGAAGCCTTTATTACCGCAACCACCTTCACCGAAAGACGTAACACCCACTACAAGAAATTGGCAGCGAAACTCGGGATGATTAACAAAAAGCGGGCCACCGGAATCTCCTGAGCAAGTACCGTGATTGCCGGTAGAAGAGCCCGCACATATTTGTGTACGACTGTCGACACCCTTTTCCAATTCGGTGCTGCGTTCGATTAATTGAAAACATTTTTCATCATCGAATCGTTCCAATTTCACTTTGAATAAGTGAGTTGAAGATTTCGTGTTATAACTCGTGCTACCCCAACCGGCCGCTAAAAATTCTTGGAAATCATTGCCATCGACTAGCGGCAGACAGGCAGGACTTACGTAATCGTTGAAGACGGCATCTCTTGCCAATTTGACCAACGCAATATCATTGTATTTAGTTTCCAGTTTCGTTGTGTGATATTGATGATGAGGTATAAAATTCCGAATTTCAATATCTTGCAGCATAGCATCATCGTCATTAGAGGTATAATTCAATTCTCCCAAACGCACCCAATCAGGCGGAGAGCTTAGTAATGCGAAGAAAGTAGTTTTTTTTTTTTTATATAAAAACATTTAATAAATCTACGGGACGTTAGACTCACTTGGTGTCAAAGAAACAATGAGCGGCTGTTAAAACGTATTTTTTGCTAATCAAAGTGCCGCCACAAATTTGATTTAATACGTCCACCTCTTTGCGGTATAATAATGCCATGAAAGGAAACTCTTTAGGTTTCGCTTCTACGCCGCCTACTATGAGAGATTTGTAACATGTCCTTGGTAGATTGTCGTAGGCTTTGCACTCTAAGGGAAACACAAGAGAATATAAATATATATCAAAAGTGAAAAGCAAACATATTATAAACAACAACATACAAACACATTGCAAACTCGCTATGCTTTGTTAGTATAAAGATCTTAGGACTTAGGATCCTAACTTACCGTAGAGTGTTGCCAGCAGAGAGTGTTAAATGACAAGAGGCGCTAAAAAATATTTTCAAAATAAGACGAAGTATTGAAGAAAACGAACTTCTAAGAGTAACTAAGAAGAGAGAGATTCTCGGCATTGTCGAATGTCGAATGAAATCTCAGATATTTGTAATTTTGTCTGTTATCAATAGCAATAAAGGTAGTGCTCTTAATTACATACTAGTGACTATTTAATTATCTGCTCTTTCACTTTCATTGTCTATACGTGCAAAAATAATTCACATAATACAATGTAATCACAAGTGTGTGTACACGAAAAAAAAGGTATGCTCATCTCAAAGGTATGATTATCTCGAAAATTGTGGCCCGTAGGTTAACCATAAGAAATTAAGACAGACATTCGGACAGATGGACAGACAAGCTTAAATCGACGCAAAAACTAATTCAGAATCGATAAGTATAACAAAAGGTGAATCTATGTCAAGTCATTCTGGGTGTTCCTTACATCCGCACTAACTTAACATATCCTTGCAATACAAATGGTGTCGGTTATGAAATGTTAGCAGCATATTTGCATACATATATATTTAATAGCTATTCTATGCAGTTTTCAGCATCTCATCTGTGTTACAGTTCGAGGGACGCCACGTATTTATTTCATGTGGTCATTTCTCCCGGGGCTTATTTCATATACCGCATCACTTGTGGTACAAGAGTATATTATGTTAGTGCGGTGGTATGTAACATCTGGAAGGAATTCGGACAGACCTAGCTTTTATTATACCGAAGCCGGTCCGTCCGCTTGTCCGTCTTGTTCTCTTCTGTTTGGAGATATTTCCATTAAGTTTGGTACACTCAAGTGCTTTGGCCCAAGGACGCACGCTTTTAAATACGATTCGCATCGGACTGCATGCCGACTATAATGCCTTGTTTTGAATAGTTGCTATAAGAATAATTGCACGCCGGTCTAGGGCATTTGAGGGCCGGTCGTATAGACCGTTATAGTGTTTTTAATTTAAATATAATACGATACTCAAAATAATTATATTATAATTGTATTGAATGTCAATTAAAAATCTCGAACGTCCCGCGAACTTATATGCGCGATTAAATAAAAGCGACTGAAACGAACTTTATTTTGCGTCTTTCAGTTTAGCTTATTTTAAGAGAACACTTTTTTACACAAGTTATTTACGAATATTTTCATGAGAGTCTGAGCTACTTTTCAGTGGCGTTTGTCTGCGGGCCAAATCGTTTGAACGCAAAAATACATGGAGAGCAATTCGATGGACGGACGGACGGACGGACGGACGGACAGACAGGCTTTGATTGATTCAAAAGATGCTTATAATAAAGTAAGGATAACAATAAATAAATAGATTAACTTTACCCCTTCTGTTTGTTACGTACATACATCCGCACAAACTGAATATAGCCTGTACAACTAGTTATAATATATTTCTGTATATATTACTCTATTACGGTCCCATTTTGAAAACTGTGGAATTTGCTTGCTCCTTTAGAGACATTCGATCTAAAAGTTAACTGTAAATCTTCTTTGGATCCCATCTCATATAACGGTTCTTATGAAAAGTAAACCATAATGTGCTGTAATTTTTCACTTTTACCGCAAAAATAAATGAAGACATGTATTAGGATAAGTTGTGTAGGGCAATTAAAGCTCGTCGGTGCTCCCCTATAACATGTTTACTTATTTAAGGATGTCACTCTCGAAATGTTTTTTTTTTATTTGATATCCAATCCCATGCAAATCTTCTCATTTCATTCACTGGCGGTAGCGTTTAAAAATTTCGACAAATAAATGACTTACTCTACCTCTTACAATACGCAAATCATTATCTTTCGGTTGTGCATAAGTTTCCAGCGGTTTCACACAGCATACATTTGTACCACGACGATCCAAATTGCAGTAAGGCTTCGCCTCGGTCGAATCGAAATTGTCTCGGATAGAGGGACACTTGGCAATGGATTTGCATTCGGTGCTAAGAGCACATTCGTTAGCTTTGTGAGAAGACAACAACAACAGCAAACGTTATATTATATAATTCATTCACTTTTAAAGCAATACACATAAGCACTTTCTATTTCCGCGGAAGACTTTCTTTCCCGTTTCGCATACGTACCATTTACAACTGGAATGATCATAGAACATAGCCAGATTAATTTCATTATTGAACTGATCATCTAAAACCATCAATGATTTCTTTTTTACTTGATAACTGGCGTCGTATATATAGAACTTGTTAATCCGGTTGATTGTTGAGACTAACTGATTGACTAATTATTTATATGGCATTTCTAGCGTTTGGTTAAGCAGAGCTTCTAACTTTGCTTTGTTTTACCTCTTAAACAACTTGCATAAATTGTATAGAGATGCACGAGAGTAATGAATAAATCCTATACTTAACAAAATTTCTCTTATCTCAAATTATTGATCATTTCTAAGTAAGCGTATTAGGAAATTCTTATTACACGTTGGCGAAGCGAAACTTATTGGCGAGAGCAAGTGTTTACATTGCATCTCTAACACATTAAAACACGTTATGGAAAAAAAATAAGTGAAAAAGTTATATTCGGTTGTCACCGAATCTTTTATACTCATCAACGTTATTCTCTTTTTGTAGAATAATTTTGTGGAAATTTATATCCTGTGTCTGCTGTGACTTATGACCCAAGAAGCAGAACCACGAATGTTTCTTTCAAATTTGAAGACGATTGCTTCATTTTCGCGACCAAGAGAGTGCCAACAACCATAGATACCACACAGATACCTAGACAGACAGACAGACAGACAGACAATCGAGAATTTCACGCTGACCAAGAATGTATGTACTTTATAGGCTCGTTGCAGCTTCCGTCTGAGTGTTACAAACATTATGGAAAAACAAATAGAATGTAGTCCGATCCTTTTAGTGATGTGAATAAAAATGCACATGTATATGTGTGTGTAAATAATTTATTAAAAATTTTGCTTTGTTTTAATTCAATCCCAAACGATACTTTGTATCCAATCGGTATATAATTGAACTTTAGTGTAAACATCTGGAACGCCTCTGGTACCGCAATTGCCTTCGCCGAATGACGTAACGCCTACCACAAGGAATTGACATCGGAATTCGGGATGATAGACAAAAAGTGGTCCACCGGAGTCTCCGGAACAGGTTCCCTGATTGCTGGTAAAGGAGCCCGCACATATCTGCGTACGATTGTCAACGCCTCCTTCTCGCAACTTCTCGTTGCGTTCGATCATTTGAAAACATTTTTCATCATCGAAACGCTCCAATTTCACTTTAAATAAATGGCTTGAAGATTTCGTATTAGAACTTGCGCTACCCCAACCGGCAGCAACAAATTCATAAAACTCATTACCATCCACTATAGGTAGACAGGCAGGACTTACGTAATCGTTGAAGACGGCCTCTTTTGCCAGCTTGACCAAGGCAATATCATTATATTTAGTTTGTACTTCAGTGGTGTGGTATTTGTGATGAGGTATAAAATTTATAATTTCAATATCTTGCGGCAAAGCGTCATCTGCGGTCGAGGTATAATTCAATTCTCCGAGACGAACCCAGTTAGGTGGTGAGCTTAAAAAATGAAAGGAAAGTGATTTTTTTTTTGGTGTAAAACGTTCAATAGATATGTGGTACGGTAAACTTACGCGCCGTCAAAGAAACAATGTGCGGCCGATAAAACATATCGTTTGCTAATCAAAGTACCGCCACAAATTTGATTGAATTCGTCTGCCTCTTTGCGGTATAACAATGCCATGAAAGGTAACTCTTTTGGTTCTGCTATTGTGCCACCAACTACGTAAGGTTTGTAACATGTTCTCGGTAGACTACTATAAGACCTGCACTCTAAGAATTACACAAGAGATTAGAAATGATGAGGAGGATCAAAGTCATAAATTCTTTTTGCTCTCACACTTAGCTTAGAAACATGTTGTATTTCTTACATGATAGGGCGGCTTAAGAATTAATACGTAAAGGGAAAAGAAGTTAAATTATTCGTAATTGAAATATTTTATCTCGCGAATATAAAAAAAGTTTTTCTTAATTGGCAACGCCAATCTGATATCGGGCGAAAGGACGATTTGAACTGAGTCGTTATTTGATTGTCTTGTATAAATTAGTTAGAAGACCCTTATAGGAATATATCATAAAATTGCATGTGAAAGAGGGAATGGAAGTCATATGGAAATCTTGTATGAAATCGCATAAGACCGCCTGCCAATAGTTATAAGATGTTAACAAAACTTAATGCAATGGATATATGGCGTCCATAGGTGCAGTTAATAAAATAGGTTATAAGCACCTGGAACACATAGCTATGCGTTCCACCTCAGTGCCCACCACCAGTCTTTGCAAAATACACAGTAAGCAAAAAAACAAAAAAAATAATAATTTTGTAAAGAATAGATGAAGCGATTGCGTGTCACAGACGCTATATAAGCGTGAAGATCTTACGATATAAGTCTAGATTGTAGCGTGCACATACTATAATTTGTAGCCACTGTCATATCAGTAACAATAACAATAACGCACGCACACTTATAGAAATGCTTAACTTGCACTTTGCAATTGCAAAAGTCCCATAGATCCAAGGTGTCAAAGAGCAATAAGCGGGAACTTAGCCAGCAATTATAATTATTGCGTACTAGTAAAAATTCTTTTGAACCCGGTGTAAACACAATACAAATGTAATTTGAACTAGAAGAAGAATACATAAGCGATGTAAACAATCAATAAAGAAGAATTTTCTACTTTAACATCCAGCTGAGCGTATCTTGGCTCTAGCGAGCAGTCTTAGTATATGAAATTCAGTTTTTATTATTTCATAGGGATGTAGTAGAAGCTTTGACAGTAGAGCTGTTTAGATTAAACATGCTTTACATGAAGAATCTGTCATATCTTGCAACCCATATATATATTCTTCGCATAAAGATCTAATCTCACTGCAATAATATAACAGATGAGAGTGTTAAACAGGAAGAGTGGCTAAGAGCTAAAAGTTACCACCAGAGAGAACTAAGAAGAGTAAATCTTAGGCATTAACAACGTCTCTCTTATTATTAACATTATGGTAGCGGGGCTCTTAAACGTTTTGCTTTCTCTCCTTCGCATTATTTGCACAGACATGAATTCTGTTTCCTGGTATGACGTCTGATACGCTGTTAAGATTTTCCCAAAAATTATTCATTTGATTTTGATATGGCATTTTTATATACATATATATTTATGCACTGAAGAATAACATCTGATATGAGATATATGTATATAGATCCTTGTACAGGACAGAAGAGAAGGACAATGGAAAATCAAAAGAGAATTTTGTAGATTAAATTTTGAGTTCGGAATCGTGCGTGGACTGTTGGACAGTATCGATGGGTTGTGCTACTCATGTCAGTGAAAGATATTTATGATAAATTTGCAGAGCTTACCGGTAAGAGTTTCTATGCTTCGCCTCTCATTTGCAAGAAGAAATATTTCAGAGCTTGGATAAATAAATTAATTACTATACCTCTTACAATGGGCAAATCAACGTCTTTCGGTTTTGTATAATTTTGCGGTAGCTTCAAGCAGCATACATTTGTACCGCGCCGATCCAAATCGCAGTAGGGTATCGCTTCGATTGTATTGAAATTATCTCGGATAGAGGGGCAATTGGCAATCGATACGCATTCGGTGTTAAGAGCACATTCGCCAGCTTTGAGAGAAAACAACAACAACATACGTTATATATATACATATATATATTATTTATTCACTTTGAAAGCAAAACACATAATAGAACACTTTCTACTTTCCGCGGAAGATTTGCTTTCCCATTTCGGATACGTACCATTTACGACTGCAATGGTCATAACATATAACTGCCATAGACGGCAGATTAATTTCATTATTGAACCGATTAACTAAAACTATCGATGATTTCTTTATTACTCGGCAACTTCCGCTTTGCATTTAGAACTTCTTAAGCCGCTTGACCATTGAAACTAACTGCTTGACTTAAATCATTGTTCATATTGCATTTCTAGTGTTTGATTAAGCAGAGCTTCTAACTTTGCTTTGTTTGTTCAGCTCTTAAACAACTTGAATAAATTGTATAGAGAGACATGAGTGTAATGAATAGATTTTATACTCAACAAAATTTAGCCGATCATCTAAAACGATTGATGATCTTTTTTTTACGTCTCAGCGTCTGTTTTGTTTTGTATTAGGAAATGCTTAGCACACGATGGAGAAGCGAAAAATACTCAGGAAAAAGGCGAAAAAGGTAAATGCTTGTCCGTCGCAAATTGACGCGATTTAATAAATGCATATAAGTTCTATAAATAGAACAGAATGAAGATGCAGTTGGGAATCTCTTAGCAAACAAAAATCTATATGAAAGATCATTAGTTAATATTGAGAAGAGCGGGGAAAGAATTATTTGTACTTAGGTTCTAACAGACAAATTCTATTCATCTATTTAAAGGTTTCAATTATTTAAACAACAAGAAAGAGGCAAACAATTATTGAAAATATATTTGAGAGACAAAGGGAAGAAGCAAAAGTGCGAGAAAGAGAAAGAGAGAGAGAGAGAGAGAGAGAGAGAGAGAGGAAAAATATATGTACAATCAAAGAAAAAATTTAATTGAACTTACCTGGTGCTTTCCCACGACGAACACGCAACATTCCATTGTTATCCTTAGCTGATAGATTATTTTTGCTCCTTGGCAGCAGTTTTCAAATCTTGTAACAATAAATGTAATGCTGTTTTGTGTGCGAAAAAGATTTTCAAAACCCACGGCCAAAACTGTCGTATTAGGCTGCGTAATGTTTGGCCCTTAAGTTTGCCAAAAAGTCTCTTGCGTCGCAACGATTTCCTAGGCTTAAGCCCGAACACAATGCTTTCAGTTTTGCAGAACCTTTTGTTGTGTTGTTGATCTGCTTCTGCGCACAAGCACAGGAATACTTTCTTAATAGTCGTAAGCAGTGGAGGAACATTTTCCTCACGTCCTCGCGCTCAATGCCGTATTCCAGGGCGTGTTGTTTTCGAACTTAATTACCATTGCCGTAAACGAGTGGCGCAGCTTCGGCTTTGGGCGGATATACCCTGAAGATTTCTATTCAAATGTTTCTGCCACGTCTTAACATCAGGACCTTAATCCCTGGTACTTTGGGAAGAAGTTTCATAGGAAAATGATCGGAGTAAATTACTAAAACTTTTTTGAGGCCAAGATTCTCGTCAAGCCATGTTCTCTTTACAAAGCATCAACAATCAATCGGCGGATGGGCATTTTTACATGCAAAGGTCAATTCGACATTAGGATCCGAGCACGGTTATACCCCATGAGTGCCACGAATCAGCTAGTTCACGATCCTTTTCATCTATGTTTAGAACTTTTGAGCTCTTCTCGGCAAGCATACGTGCGTCGTTCGCATTCCACACTGTTAATTGTCCACTCTGGCCATTGTATTGCGATGTCTTTATCGTTACCACTTAATAAATCGCTTAGACCTGTCCATAAATACAGAGAGCAGTCAATCATAGCATTTACCGATCGAGCATACACCCACAATATTACGGCCAATCCTTAGTTCTTTCCTTTTCGTCAATTCATTCTGTTTGGTCAGATTAAAAAAAAAGAAACCAACAAAAAAAAAATCATAATTCAACTTTTCCACTTATGACTTTTCATTTTGGATAAAACGCAGAATTCCGCATAATCGTGATAGTGTAACCATTTAACAGATTCCTTTGTCCCTTGTCAACTGTCATTAATATTTTGCTTCATTGTTAACACAAAAATGGATTTTAATTTAATCAATCTGATGATGACGTGTGCAATTAATATTAGATTTAATTAACACAAGCGATTTTTTTATTTTATTTGTTTATTTGTTTATTGTTTTTTTTTGTGTCCGACACAAGTTAAGTTCTGTACCGTCACTACGTAAAGACTGCTGGGAGGCATTTAAATGCAAGTAGAATTTTTAAAAAAATCTTACAAATTTTCTATAAATATTTTCGCTTCTATTAAATAAATAAAAGAATATTTTCTCTTACTCTTCTTTACTCTTTCATACATATCCTCTTTCAAATAATGAATGTTTAGTTGATGCTCAAATCAAACAGTGACGGAAATCAAGTTTTCTTTGCTCAAGTGAAACGATTTCCTTTAAGGTAAGTTTGAATGAGTACAACAAACTCGAAAAAAAAAAAATCATAAGCCAAAGAGACCGAAATAAATAATTACATAAGTAGAACTATCATCATAAGTCTTTCTCATTCTCATTTCGTAAACTGCGTAAACTGCGTTTATATGGAACCTAATTGCGCCTCTACTTCTTCTTTACCTAACGACAGATTTAAAGGCAAAGATAGCATTTCAAGTGCCCACATATACGCCCACTACAAAAAGAAAACTGGCATAACCTCGAAAACACTGATTCTATTCGCTTCTTTCAATTTCGTGAAGCTATTCCTGAAAAACCCCTATCCACACTGTCCATTGTGCCAAGACTATCACAATGCGTTAAAAAAATCTGCTAAATGTTCGTAAATCATAAATATATGATTCTAATAGCCCCTAGAGTATATGTACATTCTTAATGAAATGATTGTAGCCAGGTCTGTCCGTCTTTCCGTCTGTTAACTAAAATCACAGCTACGATCTCGAAACGAAAGCTAGAAATTGAAACTTTCTTCTACATTTGTTTCTGTTACTGCCGCCGTGTATATATTCTCACGTAGCACGAGCAGGTGGAAAATAATCCAATGGATCGACGAAACTTACCAAAATAATCTCAAACATGTAGGATTTACTTGTGCATTAAAGATTAAAGTTTGATCTTAAGTCTCCCTAAGTCAAGGCCTCATGTTTAGGTTCATAAGTGGACGCAACTGGACTCAGGTTTTAAAGAAAAGCGAATTGAAAAAATTCTCAATGGCATATATATATATAAACGGTTAAGGGATTATAGTTCCACGAATACTTCAAATCCGAGAAAATTAAGACTGTTATCTAATCGTGCAGTGAGATATGTATTCTCCTTGAGGCGATATGATTATATCTCAGGTTATATTCTACGATTTCTAGGCAGTCCTTATGTTAACTTTATTAAAGTTAAACTTCTTCTTAGCTTAACTATCTTCTACAACGGTATCCTGTGGCAGAAATCGAAGGAGCTTTTGAACCACGTCTTTCTTTGAAAGAGATAGTTCGCAATAACCTTTTGCTGGTTCATTGAGTTACTTCTTCTTTGGTCACATCCTTTCAGGTAAGAGTCATAAGAGCTTATAATTCCCTGTCAAGGGTGTTACGAAAATTTAGATGCTCTTGCTTTTAACCTTCGCCGCCAATAATGATCTTAGCTAGTTGCTTAGCAGTGGAAGGGAGGTGTGGTTGTGGTATGTGTTATTTTCTTTCATACTAGTCCGGTTAACTCCTTGTTTCGCACTCTTTACCTTAAATTTTTACACATTTTTTTGAGAATGTTTTAATTTTATTATTAGAAAGTGAGAAATTGAAATTCTAAAACAAGGCTTTGTCTTCTTGCTTGAACTGTTCCAGTTTCTGTATGACTTCGTCGCTTATATAATTGACGTTGGTTGCTGTTAGAATTCCTTCGCGAACACATTCGGCATTACGGAAACGTGTATAACTAATAATGCCCAATAGTTCGTGACGTTTTATTTCTGAATTATAAGCTACAAAACCGCCGCCAGGATCACCACGACATAAGGTCGCCTCATCTTCGTTTTGCAAGCAAAATTTATCATTAGCTAAAGATGCGAGCCTATCCTTTAATTGGCAAGTATGATGAGACAGTGATTTCATAGGCAGTCGTCGAAAAATGTTTTCTTCTTCTTTATTATAACCCATAACTGCGCCATCTTGATTATTTGGTACATCAAGATCGGCGATAGGTTTGATGTTTAGACACACGGCTGATATATTGTCATTGAAGATAAAAGGTTTCTTCAATTTAACAACCGCAATGTCCCCAAGGAAATTGTCTGTTTCCTTGCGAAAGCTTCAATTAAAAAGAGAAGAAAAGAATAGAACGAGAAAATGAAAAATTAATTAAATGACTCGTTAAGGCAATTCTTTACTCGTCTCTCTTCGACCGTAAACAGTTTTTGACGTTTAATCTTCTCCTCAAACGAACGACAGAGTAAATATTTTCTCTTTGTCCATCTCTCTAACTCTCTTTAATTTTCTTTATTTCTCTTCATTCTCTACGTTTCTCTTGTTTTTCTCTCCATTAATCCCCCACTTCCTTTCTTTCTCCGTGTTTCTTATATTCATATTCTTTACCTTACCCTGCCCGCAGACCTTTGCTTTCATACCTTGAAGATATTACAATTTCAGCAACATCTGCAGCTTGGGCAGCTGGATCCTTAGTCATATCGTAGTCGCGATAATATTTACCGGCGACCACCTGAAAGAAGCCAACGTGCATTTTGTCTTCTACGACGGCATCCCAAAAACAATGGGCAGCTGCATTAAAAGTTTTGAAATCCCGATTTATCTTTAATTCTAATTTAGCTTGAATGTCTGTCTATACGTACCTGTTACAATTACACTCGGCGATACAATGGATCCACCGCAAACGAATTTATAGTTCACCTTATCTGTTTTTTGATAAATGGCGACTTGCCAGGGCATCTCACTATACTCTACAGCGAGTTCTCCGAGCGTTAACGCCGTATTGGGTCGAGGAACTCCGCAATCGATGTTACAAGTGGGACGTTTATCGGTGAACTTACCATCGGAGGTGCATTGCATTCGTGGCGAATCGTTGCCGAAACCTTGATAGCCGATGTTACATCCAATAATTACCTCAGAATTCATTTCCACACGTTGACACTCCAGTACAGTGGTATCATTGTTAATGCACTTATGAAATGTGGATAAGCCAAGCAATTGCTCAGCATCACAATATTCTTTAAAGTGAACTCTTGTTAGAGAAAAAAATCAATGGTTTTGGTTTCACTTAACTTACGATCACATGTGGGAAATGTTCCTATCCATTCACCATTTTGGCAATTTAAACTCTCTTTGGTTTCGAGGCGATCACCATTCGAACAATCTAAGTGAACAATTTCATAATTGTCTACCCAACTGCCAAAAGGTATCGTCTCATTCTGTGGATGCAAACGAGCCACCAAATTAAGGTAATGTTCCGGTAACTGACATTTATTTTCATTTCCCGAACTATCAGAATCTGTAGGAAGCGCTTCTGTCCGGAGAATTTGTATTAAAATAACCCATATTCCGAAATAAATGATATTCGTATTGGAAGTTGACATCATAAGCGAAACAATAATTTTCTTAAGAAAAATGGAATTTTATTATAAACAGGTTTGAACCTATTGTTGGAACTTTTAATACTAGTTTCTAATTAATTTTAAACCAATACTTGACTTAAGCAATGTTAACGCGAAACTAAAACATTTAATAAAATATTGAAAGGTTTTTTGTAATTTCATATTCTCGATTAGAGAGTGGAGAAGATTTAAAGAGACAACTGCATAGTTTATGAATATATTAAGAAGACCACTACGAGACACAAAGTGATTGTCCATTCGATCCGTTACATGATCACTATTTCTTAGCCACCGTAGTTGAAATAAACTTAAATATTAAATCAACGGTTTTCGTTTAGTGAAGACACGAACTGACCCCAGCGAAGGTTCCACTTTAAAATAGCAAACAAAACTTCAAGTTTGAATTTTAACCTCTAAAAAACTCAGACTTCCTTTCCTTTAAGTGGGCGCGACCCTACAAAGAATGGAAGAAATATGAGGTTTAATGGGTTTTACTAGATCAAAGAAAATATTCGTGGCGCTTCTTTAACAAATATTAAGCACATCTTAAGCGAACTTTATTAGGCCGAGCCTATTGTCTTGCTTATCTTTTTCTCGTAACGCTTTTCCAGAGCTCGCCTTGGTTCATGTATTCGTCAAGTATCGAGTTACCCTTTATGTATCCACTCTCGACTTGAAGCAAGTTTTTCGTTCAATATTTAATACCACAACAGTGCCCTAAGTTGACATGAGAAGAATTTTTTCGATTTTCTGAAGAATCTAGCCGAGTTTACTTCCGGAGCGAAGAATATTCCAACATTTCCGTGCGTTCGATTTTTATAAAGCATTTCCACCTTAAGCAACATAAATTTTGCCATAAACATGTGGAAACCGTCTGAATCGATGCGATATTCGAAAATACTGCGAATCACTTTAGAATTTTGTCTCACTTCCGTAAACCTTTTCCGAAGTGAATTAACGATTTCTCATTCTTCTCATTTACACACTATGTTCCGCGTCCTTAAATTTACATGTTCGGAGAAACCTCGCTGGACGTTTTCCTTATTGTGTGTGTGTGTGTGTATTGCGTGTAGCGGAAGGACTTCAGATTGCTAAACCGACGGATACAAATCAACTTTCTGAACTAATTTAAGATTTTCCGTTTGTCTATTGGTCTTCCGTATCACATTAAGTTTGCGAGAACGTATGTAAAATACAGAATCGCCTTTTATTATGACAATCAATTCAGAAACGCAGTTCAGGCTTGTCGGCCTATCGGTCCACCTGATATTTGTTCATGTGTCTTTCTATTCAGCAACTATTGAGATATTTTGATGAAATTTTACACACTGAAGCGCTTTGACCCAAGGGCGATTGCTAATGACAACTTTTCATCTAGATCAGTCCACTTTTTCGAGCGCTTCTCATGTAACGCTTTGTTCTGTAAAGTCGTTATATGGAAAAAAATTAATATAATCAAAATTAATCCACAAAGTTCGCTGATTAATAGTATTTCGACAACCGTAATTGGTATGAAAAATTTGGCTTGGCTGGGGTAACTTTTTGAAACTCCTCTCAAATAACCTTGCCTATGAAAAATGAACCTTTATATGGTAAAAAGATATAATTTTCAATAAATATTTCATGGTGAGAATTGGTTCACAATAGCATATTGACAAAGAAGTCAATTTTTAGGAAGTAAATTAAGAGCTACACTTGGATTACGTCTTATGAAGTTATTGGGGCATTCCCCAATATTGCGGCCTTTTATGAAAAGTATGCGTTTGTGTGAAAATTATATATAACGAATGCATAATTGTGATAGGCGAGATGGTCGGCCTGCATACAAAGCAAACATTTGATGTATTCATAAAGTTCGCAGTTATCACGTCTTCCCACTGAGATAGAACGAATTGAACGGAGATTTTCAAAAATTCTCGCAAGTGCATAAGGAGTCGACTAAGATCGTCCCTTAAACAAACCTCGTATTTCCATTAATTTCCAGTCTTCTCAAAGCTACTACTCTTATGAAAAGCTTTACTACCTAAGCTTTAGTACATACACATATAGCCAAGTTATTCTCTGAGCTACAATAAATTTGTGGTCGACCTAAGCTTCTCGTTATCGAGATAGAACGATAGCAATTTTCAATTCGATAATTCTCATTAACGACTTGTGAGTTGATGGCACTCGGTAGCGTATGAGTGTTTTCTTGATATCGATCGTAATATTTCATATTTTTGCTTGAACGCCAAAAAGGCTATCGATCTTCATGTTCTAAGGGAAAATAAAGGCAAATGTCGTTACAAAGAGGAACGATTACTTAATCATAGCAACAGATTTGCCTAATTAAATTATAATTTCTGACATATGTAAAAACGATTTATTTTTAAACGTCTCTTATACGCTTCGTGGCATAGTCTTGTCCTCATTAACTTCTTGCTTAGTTCTATAATTCTTTGGAAAGCAAAGTTGTTCGCAGATTTTGTTGCATAAACGTGTGGGCCTCGTAGGCGTGTGCATTCACTAATCCGCCCATATGTTTAGCACATACATTCCGAATTTTAAACCAGCCAAGGATTTGTGTACTTTATGGGGTTTATGGAGCTTGGTTCTAGGCGTTACAAAGGTATTGAAAAGAAATTAGATCTTCATGCAATAATATTGAGTAGGCGTGGTAAATTTTCAGCTTTTCAAAATTCAACTTTTGTAAGTGTGTTTACAACAGTTATAACACGGACAGACAGACGGACCTGCTTAAATCGATTTAAAATTTGATGCGAATCAAAACTAAAAATACGCTATGGGACCTTTGAAGCTTGTTTCGGTGACGGGTATAAAAAGAATAATTTGCTCGTCGTAAATACATAAATCTTCTAAATCTTCTGTGCCGGTGCTTAATTATTTCTTCTATGGTAAGTATTATGCTTACAAGTGTAGATTTATAATCAACGCTAATAAAGTGTACTACGAGCCGATAGCCTGTGTTGCTAGTGCTCAATGTCTTTTTTTTAGTCTAAGAATTCATTTTATTAGTCTAAAATTAAAATAATAATAATAATAAAGTGTACTACAAACATAAAATGCTGCGCATACACCAAAATCGCTTTTAATATGGGCTTACACGGGATATTAATTATATGCAAAAAATTAAACAAATTTTTATTTTTTTAATTCAGTCCCAGACGATACCTTCTCTCCAATCGGTATATAAGTTGACTCTAGTGTAAACATCTGGAATGCTCACTGTTCCGCAATTACCTTTACCGAATGACGTGACGCCTGCCACGAGGAATTGACAGCGAAGATCGGGATGAGTAAGTGCCCTGATTGCTGGTAAAACAGCCCGCACGTATCTGGGGGCGATTGTCAACGCCTCCTTTCTCCAATTTCTCGTTGCGTTCGATCATTTGAAAACGTTTTTCATTATAACTTGCGCCATCCCAACCGGCAGTCACAAATTCTCGAAACTTGCGTAATCTTGCCAACTTAACTAAGGCAATATCGTTATATTTAGTCTGTACTTCAGTGGTGTGATATATGCGATGAGGTATAAAATTTATAACATCAATATCTTGCGGCAAAGCGTCATCTGTGCTAGAGGTGTAATTCAATTCTCCTTAGGTGGCGAGGTCGGAAATGAAAAGAAAGTAGTTTTTTATGTGAACACATTCATGAATAAATCCACGGTACGTTGAACTCATGTGGTGGCGTAGAAAAAAATGAGCGACTGTTAAAACGAATTTTTTTGCAAATCAACACAGGAACGAAAACTCTTTAGCAGTTGCTTTTATGCCACCAACTAGGTAAGGTTTGTAACATGTTTTTGGTGGACTGTCGTAGGATCTGCACTCTAAGGAAAACGCTCGAGGCTGTAATATGTAAAGCAAAAATATGTCATAAACAATACGCAAGCTTGATGATCTTAACACATAGTTAGCATAGTATGTTCGGTAGAGAAAGAACTAAATAACACGAGTGGGCTAAGAAATTTCTTTAAAATCAAAAATGGTACCAGAGACAATAAACTAAAAAAAGGAACTAAAAAAAAATAAAATAAAATCTCAGAAATTTTGAATTTCTCTCTTGTCATTAATTGTCTGTAGGGCTCTTAACTCCTTGCTCTCTCATTCTCTTTATTTGCATAGTCATGAATTGTGCTTCCTGGTATGACGTCATACGGTATCAAATATTTTTCAAAGCGAAAAAGTATACAATTGTGTGTTGTAAAGTGAATATCTACTCTAGAGTACACGTAAGTGTGTATGTAAGAGAAAAATCTAAAGCATAGGTGACAAATATAATTTGTTTCTTTTCGAAAAAAAAACTTAATACATATTCTAGGAAGGATTTATCAGGAAGTAATGCAACGTGTATGCACGCCCATAAGCATGACATATCTTATACAACTTCCCACGTCCCTTATGAGTTATCGTGGAAGACGCGTTGCCTTATTATTTCATATGACTGGCTTCGCAATATATATTTCATACTCATTCTTCACAATTTTTATACACTGCAGCGTTTGTGTGGTGCAAGGGTGCGGATGTATGCACCAACCAGAAGTACTTGAGATAGATCTATCCTTTACTACAGCGAAGCTTGTTTGTTAGTTCTTTGGCGTGTTAAGTCGTTGTGTAAAATTTGCGTCGCATCAGCAAATTATTGTAAGCCCCTCCCACGTAACCGTTACTATAAAAAGTAAGTCATTATATGTGTAAAATATATACTGGAAGTGGATCCTTAAAAGTAATTTGATATATAAGCCACCTCATCTAAGGGTCCCTTATGAAAAGTGAGCATTTATACCGCAACAAAGGAGTGAATGTATCCATGATATAACAAGAAAGGACTTTAGCCAAGAAAAAAAAACTTAGAGCTTTATCATATGATCAGATGGACAGATGTTGCTCAAGCTTGTCTATAATATGTATAGCTGAGAGAGCAGTTAAGGCTTGTTTTTATATGCTTGATAAGCTGAAGATACATTCTGGAAAGCAGCCCATGCGCCCTCATAAATTTAATATATGTCTCGAGATTTAACATATATATGTACACGCGTGTGTGTATATTTTCATAAGGACCACAATCACTCAGGCAATGTGTCCCATTCGAGTATTAGGGTGACGGTCGAAG